CTGAGGCCAGATTGTAACTGGGGAAAATGAGTCTTCCTGACTCTGGGCCTGGCACTCTATCCACTGTGCCATCTAGCTGTCCCGTTCCCCCTTTGGCATATATACGGATACATCAGGAGGCTGAATGGTATAACTCCCATCTGTATTCCAGCCCCTGGCACAATGCCTTGCTCAGAGCAGATGCTTATTAAATAGCACTTTTAGGGTTAGAAAGTGCTTTCCTCCATCTGAGATAGATAGTGCAAGTATTTTCCCCATTTTATAGGTGAGGAGATTTAAAGCCATCACACAGCTCAGTCAGGGCTGGCACTAGGGTGGAAGAAAGCCAGCTTTTTCTTGCGGTTTGCCCCTCTTTGCATGATGCCACACTGTCTCTCACCAAATGTTACTGGGGCCTGATAGGGACATGACAGCCTCAGTGAAGGCCTCCTAGAACAGGTTGCAATTGAGCAGGGCTGAAATGTGGTGTGAGAGGGAGGCTCAGGGGCCAATCCAGCTTTGGGATTATGGCGTAGTCACTTGACTTTTGGGATAATAATCCTTATAAAACTGACATCACAGGCTTGTGGTGACAGAGCTGCTGTCCAGACCTCCATGTTACAGGAATCTGAGGTGCTATTTTTGCCAGTGATAAAAAGAAGCAAAGCCCAAGGCAAATTAAGCCAACAAATGACTGATTGTGGAACTTTGTGATTTCTCTGCAGATTCTTCCTCGGTTGATGAGATGGCTACTTCCACACAACAGATTTCCAAAGATGAGCTTGAAGAACTGAGGGAGGCCTTTGCAAAAGTTGGTGAGTTATTCTGGGGAATATGGTTTAGTATTGACCCAGCTGGGCCAGCAGGGCTCCTTAAAGCTACTTAACCACAAAGGATTTTGTATAAGCAAGTCTGGGGGCATTGCCCCTTCCTTCTTGCCCCTCACTCCCCATCTCCACTGTCTCTCGGAGCCTTGTTTCTCTCTGTATTCCCCTTCTCTCCACTTCCAGAACCCTAGTTCACCCTAGTTCAGACCCTGACCACCTCTCTTAGGCTATTGCAGTAGACTTCCAAGTGGCCTCCCTGCCTCCATTTTCTCCTCTTTCCAATTTGTCTTTCACGCAGCTGCCAATTTAATCCTGCTAAGGCACAGATCTGACCCTTTTCGCTTATCTAGGCACAATGGAGACAGCACAGTAGTAGCATCTACCGCCTAGGGACATAAAGCACCTACTAGGTACCAGGAACTGTGCTAAACCTTTATACTTATCTCATTTGAGTCTCACAACAATCTGCAAGGTAGGTGCCATTATGATCACCATTTTACAAATGAGGAAACTGAGGCAAACAGGTTCAATTATTTGCCCAGGATCACACACCGAGTAACTGTCTGCAGCTGGAAGTGAATTCAGGTCTTCCTGACTGCAGGTCCGAGCTCTGTGTGCTGTGGTGCCCCAGCCTTGAAGCATTGTGTATAGCAAGCTTGTACTTGTCTGTGGATTTTAAATGAGATAACATTGTAAAGCATCATATCAATTCTGGTATTTAACAAAAAATCTCCAAAGCCTTCAGTGACTCCCTATGGCCTCGAGGTATTAGGGTAAACACGAACGCATTGGTCTCTCTGCTTCCCACCTTTAGTACTAGCGGCATCCCTTGCAAAGAAAGAGCAGCAGGCTGCCACTGGAGTGGCCACTGACCCTTCCAGCTCTTTCCTCTTTCTTCGGAATCTGAGGCTTTTGTGGCCAAAATCAGGCACCCTTCTAAGAAGTTCTGAAACTCCATTGGGCCAAAGGCTTCCCCTCTGAGGAGGCTCTCCTCATCTTGAATTGCTATGGAAAGAGAGCAGAGAAATGCTGAGTAGCAAGCGTGTCTTTCATCCTTCCCTCACTCTCTTAACCATTAGGATGGTTTCCAGGTTGCTGTGACTACTCACTTCTTCCTCTCCCAGCCTCCTCAGAGGCTGCTCTATCTGGAATTGAGGGAGCCTTTTCATTGTATCACAGGAAGTAGACTGAGGCCGGAAGGGTAAGAATGGTCCCTTCGGGTCTGCCAAATGTTTTGTGTATACTATCTAATTTGAGTCTCCTAACAACCCTGGGAGGTGAGGGCTATTGTTATCCCAGCCTCTAAGGTTAAGTGACTCTGGGTAGATGAAATGTAGGAAATATTCATTTTTCCAGTAAAAGAGCTCATCGTGGGCCTTCCCTGTCGTCTTCAGCCTTTAGAGACAGATGCCAGGCAATGAGGCTTAAGGAAAACCTTTGGGACTCTAAGGTTGATTGAGAACTCGTGAAGTGCCATCTTGGGTGAGATTTTGTAAATAAAACAGATGGTGAGTCAGAGTCAGGGGAATCTGCATGCCCAACCCTGTTAGACTGGGCGCTCCTTTAAGGTACAGAGTGAGCAGTTCCAAAGCACTTGTTGACTGAATGGCCCTGGCTCCCCACCTCTTGGGGCCCTGTAAAATGGGAGGGCTTTGGACTCCTAAGGCCCTTGCTGTCTGTCAGTCGGGGATGAGGGAGTTGGACCAAATAGTTCCTTGACATCCTGGGCAGCTCTAAGTTATGGCTCACACTGCGCTTTCTTCTGGATTTCTCTTATTGGGACTTCATGATCAATTTCCAACTCGCTCAGTGGCTTAACTCCTCAGGTCATCTCTTCAAAAGCAGAGGCCTGGTCTCCTCTTGTTTTGCGTTGACACTCTAGTTAGTGCAAGGCTAGCCCAGGGGACCCTTACTTGACTTAACTGCAAGGGAGTTAAATGGTCTTAGAACTTGGCCTGGGATAGTCTAGGTGAGATCTGTCAGCTGGGCCTTTGATAAAGTTGACCAGCAGTGTCTTTAGATTGTCAGGGAATTGTGGCCTTGTGGAGCACGCTGCAAAAGGCGGGCAGCCTTTGGCACAACTTGAGGGATTTGGGCCCATCCTTACAGCGTACTCACTGCCTCCCGGTGGCCCCAAAGCAGTTAGGCTGGTGTCAGAGATGGGATGGGAGACCCTCAGAGTTCAAAACCCAAATTTCTTTTCCTGACCAGGGTGCTCATTTTTTTTTTTTAATTCTCCATGGGGGAAGGATAGGATGGGACATGGAAACGGCTGTTCTCCCTTTCCTTTATGAAAAAAAAATGATACTTTTTGTTCCTCTATTTCTCCACTAGGACAGGTGTGGCACTGAAGAAAAATCTCAATGTGAGATTAAAAAATGCTTTTATGGCCTAGTAATAGGCCATGTTCGATTGGTTAATCAACTTAATATGAGTGTCCTTTTTAAAAAAATTAAATGTTTTTATCAAGAACCTGACATTGACCATCCATATGGTCAATTAAATTTGCTTAGGAACCAGTGGGAAGAGCAGGGGCTGGGTCTGAACCCCTTACTACCTCTATAGTCATTTTACTACCCTGTGCCTCAGTTTCTTCCTCTGAAAAATGGAGAGGAGACTTTTGTTGCCAAGATGGTGGAGAGAGGAAGAAACCTCCTGAAGCTTTCCCAGAGTCCCCTCAAAACAACTAGAAAACCACCTCAGAATTGACCTAGGAGCAGGGAAGCAGCTTAGCAGCATGGCAGGAAAAGAAAGGTCTGTCTCACTCAGATGGGAGGGAGCTAGGTCCAAGAGCAACAGCAGCCTCACAGCAGGGGGCCCTGCAGCAAGGCTCCTAGCCTGGGGCAATCCACCAGCAAGGCTCTGCCCTCATGCAGACCAGCAGCCCTCTAGGCAAGTGAGCATTCTGGGCAGAGCAGCAAGGCCCCACCGCAGTGACTGCGGGATAGAATTTGGAACTCATAAAAATGGGGGGGGGGCGTGTTTACCGGACACCATCTAAAGTTCCCTCCCTTCCCATTGTGGGCAGATCTCTGTACACCCTGGGGCTATTTCATTAACCCAGGACTCTTTTCATTAACCCAGGCTTCCTTAGTCAGGTGGCAGAGTCCTTTGGGGAGGTGATGGGTGGTGAGGGCACTAGGAGGTGGTTTTGTCTCATGCCTTTACCCCTCCCGTTCACTCCTAGGCTTTTGTGTCTGGGTTTGGGGAAAGAAGGGAGGGGCCCTCAAACTGAGCCCCTCTGAACATATGACCTGCCTGCTTGTCCTCTGGCATTTAGCCTTCTGCTCTGGCCTGATCTTTAGCTGCATCTGGCCCCAGTGTTTGGGGGGACTCCACCACAGGACTCCGTCTTCCTGAAGCAGGCCAGGAGGCCCTCGTCTGTCCTCAGCTGGGAGTTATTAAGCTGCCCCTTCTGTTTGGTGGAGTGGGCTCCCTCAACCAGAGGCAAGGACTGTGAAAAGCCAAAAACTCAGGTCCAGCTAAGCATCTGGAGGTATTTAGCCACTGCCTTTCCCGAAGCCTTGTGCTCAAGGAAGGCTGGGCTCATTTTGCTGACTGGGGAGATGGAGGGCACACTGTTCTGCTGCAGTCATCATTTGGCAACATCTCTTAAAGCAGTGACCCCTGTGCTCCTCCTGGGAAATCCAGGAGCTCTGGGGGCTGTTTAGTCAGCTTGGCACCTCCCCCACATACATTTCCAAGCTTAGTCCATAAGAAATGAGAGCAAGAAATGCTGGTAGAAGCGAACAGGGCCGGAGGGTTTGCTGCATTTCATTGTTCTTCCCCTAACCTCACCGATTCCTGTTCTTGCCATTAGATGTGTCTAGGGCAGACTTGGGCCCTTCTCTTATCCCCCATTTTTTCCAGGGCTTCCCTGGCCCGCCTGCGCCCCCTGGCCCTGAGCAGTGGCAGACAGCCGCTAGAATCTAAGCTGGAGTTCTGTCCCTGCTTTCTCCAGACAAGTACTTAAAATAGCTTCAATTACAGGATGCAAGGGGAGGGAGGGAAAAAAACACACCATTTCCTTTTAAGGCTCCAAATGGTGGGCAAGGACATGGCTGGAGAATCGGCTTATTTATTTGAAAGTTGCTTGTGGGGTGTTAGGGAGTCAACTGGCATTTAAACAATTAACTTGGAATAAAAGGCATAATGAGATTTACTTGGAAACAAAAAGCAGATGTAAAAATGCAGCTGTTTCTAGGAGGGAAAAGGAAAGGCAGAAAAAAGGAAGACTTGGTTGAGAAAAGCTCAGCCTCTGCATAAATGCAGAAGTGAGAGCCACGGCTACGAGGACTCAGTCACGGGAGTGCTGGACGTCTCTCTCTTCTTCACCCTGAATTGGGAAGGAGTGATGGTGCCTCCTTTACTTTTGGGAGGATTGAGAAAAAATAAGAAGGTTTTTTTTTTTTCTCATGCAAACTCGACTGTCTAAAGATGGTGACCTTAGTGCCAGGAAGCTCTCCTCTTTTCCTAGGGGCTGTGTTCTGGTCCCCAGACAAGGCCTGTCTTTGTCTCCCTGCTCTCCCATGGGCTCCATCCCCATAAGGCAGATCCTAGCTTTAGAACAACAGGGACTCCAGGGACCATCTATTTCTGGCCTTCATTTTAAAGAGGAAAAATCTGAGGACAAAGGGGAAGTGCTAGTCAGTGGCAGTCAGAATTTGAACCCAGGCTTGCTGACTCCAGATCTTGTTCCTTTGCCCCTGTTAGGCTGCCTCTCGGGTAGTTAGATACTTACCTTGCCATTTCGACACTACGGTGGTCCAAATGACAAGCCTTACATTGCCAGAGGTCCCCTTCTTTGTAGAGTGTCAACAGGAGCATTGAGCAGAGGTGGTCAGAGCACAAGAAAGGTACCAAAGAGAGAAAAGGAACCTTGCCACCATGATTTCATGCTTCTTTGCCAATCAGTGAAATGTTTCTCACCCTTTTCCATTTCAGAGGCTTATGGGATCATAGGGTAGGAAAAGACCTTAAGGAAGGAAGACATGTGGAACCATAGAGTCAGAGCTGTAAGCTAGTCCAGTTCCTCTCATTTTGCAGAGGGGGAAACTGAGGCCAAAGAGCTCAAGGGATTTGTCCAAAATCACACACATAGTAGGTGACCAAGTCTGGATTAGAGCCTACAACCTTGACTTAGGTCTACCACTTTCCCCTCCACACCATGATGCCTCCCTTGCACATTCCAAGTGTTCAGGGCCTATTTGTTTGGTCCCTTAGTAACATCGGATCTATCAGAACCTGGACATGGGCTTGCTTCCTTAACGCTAGCTTTGGTGATCAGGTGGAAGCTGCTAGGGCTCTTTCCTTGTCTTTTCAACATAGACTGGGCCTCTGCCACAGTCTGGGGTGAAGGGGAATGCTGGGAGGTGTTTCTGGAAAGGAAGTAGAGTAGCATCAAAGTTTAAAAAAATAGTGGCAGACCCTTCTTTCCACTACTTTGCCAGCTGTGTTTTTTTTTTAAGTTAATTGTTAGCCATTTTGCAGCCTCCTTCTGCCTCTTCTTTGAAATAGAAACCATTTCCTCCCAAAATAGATGATTGGGAGCTCCAGGGAAGGCATGATTGCTGCTTCAGAAGGCCAGTTAGAAGCTAGAGGCTTTCAGGCCTAGATGGGTGTGACAGGCATGAACAGCCACCAGTAGCAGCACCTTAGAAATGGCCAAGCATCACTGAAGTCCAGAATGGAACAAATGGTTTGCATGGGCAGATAGGGGTGTTCTGTTCTGCCCAGGAAAGACATGGGAATCAGGCGGTCTTCCTTTCCAGTGTGGGAAAGTACATTGTCAGCTAAGGTTTGGGGAGACCAGTCCCTTTCTAGAAGCCAAGGTGACCTGATGAAGGGATCTAACCTCTAGGTTAATCTTTACATAGTAAAACTGATAAATCTCTTGGGGGGGGGCGGGGCGGCGGCAAACACAAGCTCTCTCTTTCTCCAGGAAGTAGAGCTTTCTGAGACCCTGTGGCTGGTAGCCAATTCCAGCTAGGACCTTGAAGAGCATTTGCTTGACCAAATAATGCAGTCATTCCCAGGGGGTGGGACCATATTGGTTTGTGGGAATCCAATGAGATCATACTTGTAAAAAGTGGTTAGCACAGTGCCTGGCACATAGCGGTCGCTACAGAAATGTTTCTCCTTTCGTGTGTGCGCGCGCGCGTGTTCTTGGTGTTACTTTGGCCCTTTGATGAGGTGGCACTCTCAGAACTGCAGAGAAATGAGCAGTGTGCTTGGCTGGGTGCCCCCCCCCCCTTTAGTAACCCACTCTACCATTAGGAGTTCCCTCTGCCAGCCCCCCCCCCCCAAACCACTGGGTCACATTTCTCTCCTGCTTTTCCTGAAGATCATCTAGGCCAACTGCCTCCATTTGCAGATGGGGAAATTGAGGCTCAGAGAGGAGAGACTTGTCCAGAGTCCCAGAGGTAGTAAGGGGCACAGGTTGGGACTTGGCTTAAAGTCCTTCGATAGGAGAATGAGCACTCTTTCCAAAGAAACATGCCAAGAGGTAGTGCATGTATTATCTCCATTTTACCAAGGAGGAAACTGAGTCAGAGAGGGCAAACACCTTTTCCAAGGTCACCCAGCTAGTCAGTGCCATACATAGTTGGAGGTTGAACCCAGTTCTTCTGCCTCCAAGTCCCTTGCTTTGCACTGTACTTTAGCTTAGTACTTAATTGCTCTTGGCCACAGACGTTCCCTAGTCCTTCCTGTCCCGTTAAGTAAGTCTGTTTTTCTTCATGAGCCTTCTAAAGCTGTAGGTTCCAGAAAGCCGTCATCTGACCTCTCCCAAAACCTGAACTTCACATCTCATCCCAATGGCATATTCTTCTGATCCAAATTCCCCATTACTGTGTCAACTAGCTAGGGCTGGGTGCTGCAAGGCATGCATTTATAATCTGTCCGTCCCACTGATCCCCAAGTGAACTGCAGTGCACAAAAAAAACCATCATACACATGCAGATTTCACAATTGCCATGTCCAAAAATGGACCTCTCTGCCTTGAGGTCATCATTTCTCTTCTGATCCCAGTGCCAAATTTTGTTATTTAATAGGAGAGATTCAGTAATGCTCTTCCTTTATCTGCCTGCCCCCCCCCATCAGTGCTAGAGAAGAACCTCATTTTCTCTCTCTCCCTCTCTACCTGACATTCAGCATTAGTCACGTGACAGTTTCCCATCTAGCCTATATTAGTTACATTTGCTTCCTGGGATCCTAATCTGGGGAACAGGCACTGAATTTGGAGCCAGAGGCCCTGGGGCCAGAGCCTGGCAGGAGGTCATGAGGATGTTTTATAGGCTTGTGGTCACTGAGAATGGACAGGACGGTGGGTAAGTGATCTTCCTCCTCTGCACCTCTGAAAAATGAAGGAGCTGCCCAGTGGCCCTGTGGTGGAGTAGGAATCCAGACTGCTGAAATTCTGGCCATGGAGTGGGGAGACCCCACTTGGAAGCCTGGTGCTGGGGGACCTTGATGAATCACCTAATCTCTGGGCCTCTGCTTTGGGCTCATCTCTAAAATAAGGGGTGTGGGCTAGATAACTTCCAAGGTCCCTTTCAGCTTGAGGCCCGAGATCCTGAGCTCTCTCTAAATGACCGTGTTTCTGAAAGGTTCTTGAACGCACTGAGCCTCCTGGTTGGCTGTTGATTTCTGTGTTGTCTTTATTTTGGATACAGCTTTTGAGAACCCTCCATCATAAAGTCATAGATTGTCAGATCTGAGAAGGCCTAGAGGGACAGTCTTATTAAGTTCTTTGAGATGTCCCCTCCCCCACTTCCCCCTCAGGCTGGAAGTGCAGTGGCTTATCACGGCTCCATTCCCGATGCTGATCAGCATGGGAGCTTTGTTCTCCCCCATTTTCCCCAACTTGGACTAGTTTGTCTGGTTCTGGAAACTGATGCCTGCCCAAAGAAGGTAAAGGCATCTCCCAGGGTCCTAATACAAACATGCCTCAGTAGAATGTAAGCTTATTCAAGGCAGGGAGTATTTTCCATTTTGTTTTTACTAAATGTTGGAATGGATCAGTAGGGCTTTGACTAGTCCAGGTCCCACATTCCCCTGTGACCTTTGCTCTCTCAAAGTGTTCTTCTAAGAGGGCCAGGTGGAGCCCCTCCTTCCTATGCAGGCTCTTGGTAGCCCACAAAGGCTGTCAGCTTCTAAAGGTCCACAACTTACTGGAAGAAGCTTCCCCTCCACCTCCCTTCTTCATGGCAGTAGGATGCTAAACTCACCTTTGTCGGTCTTGGGGTGGTTGTGGGCTTCCTGTGCTAAGTGGCCTCAGCTTGGAGGTTTGTGCCCCCTGCCTTCCCATCCCCTTTCCCAAGGTACTTGGTTGTCTCAGCTTGTGGCTGCTCTGCTGGAGGCTGTCCCTGCTCAGGGCCCGCTGCCCTGGTTAAGCCATTCTCCTCCACTGAGGGCAGATGGGTTCTCTCAGCCTTCCTTGTCTCTGGTAGCGGCTGCCGGTCACATGCGCAGTGCCTGGTGCCATGGACACAGCTCTCCCTTCTCAGGTGGCAGGACCCTTTGCCTTACACCCAGTGGAGCAGTAATAGTGTGGCTGGCAGAAGGTACAGTCAATAAACATTCCCCAATGGCCTAGAGAGTACATTCAAAGGTACACTAGACAAACACTCCTCCCTGGCCAGAGCCCTTGAGGCTGGTTGTTGAAGGTTCCCAGGGCACCTGCTTTATTTCCCAACATCCTCAGCTGCCCAGGTTGGTGTAAGAGCCATTATCATTTAGCCCCCAGGTTCGTTCACACACAGCCCTCAGGTTAGTCTTATCGGATATTTCTGGCTTACCAGTGAACAAATAGGGGAACCAGACCAAACAGCCCAGCTGCTCAGTGAGCAGTTAGTAAATGCCTAGTGTGTGGCAGCCAGTGGGTGAGGTCCTGGGGATGCAAACACAAAGGAAAACTGCCCAGTCTGTGGAGAGAAACCACAGGTGCACTGCTAAACAGCTAAAAAATCCAGAGGAGGTCATGGTTCTCAGATTGGGGAATTTGAAACACTAGAACCCAGGGACCATGCAAGGTCTTCTGTAGGCTGGGCCTTGAAGCAAACCAGGGATTCCCAGAGGCTGAAGAGAGACAGCAGGCCTGCTCTGGCAGACGGCCAGTGGAAAGGGTTAGACACAAGCAAGTGGGGAGTTATGGGGGGAAAGGCAGGCTGGAACCCAAGCAACAAGGACCTTAAATTCCCACCTAAGCTGGGTTTGATTCTAGAAGTAATAGGGAGCCATAGGAGCTTCTTGGGGTTGAGGTGGGCTTGTCGCTAAATGGAAGATGGACTGAAGAGGAGAGAGCCTGAAGGCAGAGACACCATTAGAAGTACATTGTAGTCCAAGCAAGAGGGCGTCATTGGGATGGTGCCTGTGTGAGTGCAGAGAAAGAGACAAATGGGAGAGAGAGCTGACTCAGTGGACAGAGTGCTGAACTTGGAGTCATTTATTTCAGTCATGTCCTGTTCTTCCTGACCCCAGTGGGGTTTTCTTGGCAAAGATACTGGAGTGGTTTGCCATTTCTTTCTCCTGCTCAGTTTTACAGATGGGGAAACTGAGGCAAACAGGGGGAAGTGACTTGCTCAGGGCCACACAGCTAGGAAGTGTCTGAGGCCAGATTTAAACTCAGGAAGGCGAGTCTTCCTGACTCTTTATCCACTGTGACACCTGGCTGCTAGGACTTGGAGTTAGGAAGACCCAAAATCAAATCCCATCTCCGACTCTTATTTAGATGTGTGAACCCTGCAAATCACTTAACCTCTCTCAGCTTTAAGTTTCCTCATCTGTTAAATGGAAATCCTAGTTGCTTCTACCTGGAAGGATTGATGTTGAAGGTTCCCAGGGCTCTCTAAATGTTTACCTGTCAGCGATTGGGCGGGCAGAAATAACAAGACTTGGAAGGTGTTTGGACACAGGGTAAGAACCCAGGTTACACTGGGGCAGGGGCGGGAGTTGGGGGAGGGCCTTGACCGAAAGAGGGAGGTTAAGAAGAGGATCAGGCTTTGGGGGGTGGGGGTGGGAAAGAGCTGACCAGGCCCACAGTATCACCCGGGCTTTGGGCTGTCTCAGGAAATGAGTTAAAAGAAGAAATAAAGTCAGCTGAGGACCTTGGGGCCCCTCTTCCCCTCATGCCTATGGAGATGCTTGTACTTCTAGGGGGAGCGGGGCGGCTCAAAGAGAGCCCTAATGCTCGCCCTGGTACTTAGTTCCTTCCTCAAGGCTTATTTGCTCTTGCATTTCTCACAAACTTGTCTAGCTAGTTTCCCAGATCACAGATGTTAGAAGCAGCAACTTGTGATGGGGGAGGGAGATCAGGGTAGGAAAGCATTTTTGTTAATACTTAATAATTATCACGGACATCTCCCTACCACTACACCATTTACATTCGAGCTTCCTGCCAAGCCGGGGATCCCGATTTGGAGGCTCTGGTTATCACATACCACCGTAATAGTTAAGAGAAGGTAATGGCACTGGGTGGTTCAGTCCCTTGCCCAGGGTCACATAGCCAGGATTTGAACCCAGGTCTTCCTGGTTTCAAGGCCAGCTCTTTCCACTCTATCCCATTGCATGTAAATGTCTTGATGTTGCACGGCTTCTACGATCCTCACAATGGCCTTATTAAAGTCAAGCATCTGAACAGTAGCACTAAAAGGGCTCAGCTTAGGAGGGCCCACACCAACTGAGCTGTTGTGCTGTCTTGAACGTTCTAACAAATAGTCTTTGAGCATTGACTGTGGTATAGGCCCAATTCAGAGTCAAGAAATTATTTAAGTGATGTTTTTTATACTCTTTAAGAAGGCAGAGAACACTAAGTACCCTTGACAGGTTTTCATCAAAAGTGGCTAAAAGGAGACAGAGTTTTTGCAATTGGAGTTTTAGTGGGCAGACTCGTCCATCTGTTTGGAGTCAGGGAGGGGGCCGTGCCAGGAGTCTTAGTGGAGTCAGGAAATTCTTCTTCTCTGAGACATCTCACGCGTCAGAAAGGGTTCTGGTACCTCTCATTCTCTAACCCAGAGGCCATCAGCTAGAAATCGCCAGCAAGCACAGGACTTCATCGTTGGAAATTCCAAACTGTATTGCTTTTTTCAGTCCAAAATTTGGCCAGACAGGTTTATTCAGACATCAGTGTCCCTCATTCATGAGGGACGGACAGGAGATTGGATCAAAATACTGTCTTTCTTTCAAGTGACTGGCGAGATGTGGCTGTTAGGTCCCCATATTGACAGGGGGAAGCTGATGGCCTGGGGATCAGAGTGCTTGGTCTCCCATTCAAAAAGCTCTAGCCATGACATTCTTAAATCTCAGGAATCTTAAGTGATAGGCCTAAAACTGGGGCAGCAGCATTTCAGGGCCTCAGGCTGCTAGTGGGAGGCACTAAGTGGAACTGGGCTCTGCTGCCCCTGTGCTTCCCCTTTTTTTCCTCGCATATATTCTTCTGGAGCTGCTTTACTTGCTTTTATGTTGCTTCAGCAAGCTCTTCCCCAACTTCTTTCTATTCCCCAACTTGGTGGGCCTAATGGCACTTTATGGTAGCCCATTAGTTTAATGTACCACCATTCATTCTTCTGTGGATTCTATTGTAGATCTTTGAGATTGCCTCTGGCTTTGTTTTTGGTTTTAAGTTATATAGAACTCGGCTAGGACAGTCTCGAAAGGCTGGGACTTTCTTTTGTTCTTGATAACCCTTTTAGGCTATATTCCCAACAATGGAATCACACTGATTTCCATGTGGAAAGAGCCCAGTGAAGTGTACACAGGGACCTTTTGGAGCTCCGATCCTAGATATGTTTGGCCATTGCATCTAGTACTCTTTGGCCTACAGTTAGCTTCCTTTGCCTGATCGATAACTATTGACTGAGGCAAAGGTCCCCTTTGCTCAAGTTTGGGTGCGCTTGGAAGTCTGTTCCAGATTAATCAGGAAACTTGTCTGGCTACTGGAGGAAAGACTATGGAACTACCCAGTTATGTGAATTGTCTTCTAAAAAGTATGTGCATGCTCCTAGAGGGACTAGTTAGAGAAGAAATAGTGGAGGGGAGAGAGGTTGCTGGGTTTGTACCCTGGCTCTGCCACCTACCCACTCCTTGTATGATCTTAGGCATAGTCTATGAGCCCTCTGGGGGTCCCCTCCATGACAGAGTTGGTCTCAATGACCTCTACAGGCCATTCCAGCTTTAGACCCATGATCCAGTGAAATCTGGGTCCTGATCCCTTCTCGGCCACCTGTGTGACCTTGGGCAACTCATTGCTTTTCGGGGCTATAGTTTTGTCGTCTGTAAAATGAACTCATAGGTCTTGATGGCCGAAGCCTGGATCTTTGCTTCTCTGATCTCTCATGCCCCCTTTCAGTTCTTTCTCTGTGACCCTGTGATTCTTTCATTTCCCAAATTCATTAGTCCAGGCTCTCACTTAGCACAGTGTACTAGTAGCTCTTCTGTGCTACCACTATGCATACAGCCGAGGCTTCTTTCTGAATGTTAGTGGCTTTTCCGTTTGTGTAAGACTTAGAAAACCCTCCAGATTGCTCGTGAAACCCAGTTAAAACAAAATAAAACCCCCTCTGATGCCATACTTTTCCCTGCAGTGACTCGGACTTTACCTTAGGAGCAGGAAGAAAAGCTGGCAGAGGTCTGGTCACAAAATGAGGAAAATGCCCTCGGCTTGCTGCTATTTCTAAAGTCTGTTTTTTTCCCTTTTTTTCCTCTCTGAATTTTTCATGAAGATCTCAACAGCAATGGATTCATTTGTGACTACGAGCTGCATGAACTTTTCAAGGAAGCAAACATGCCATTACCAGGCTACAAAGTGAGAGAAATTCTCCAAAAACTCACGATCGAGGGCGACAAGGATAAAGACGGCAAGATCAGTTTTGACGAATTTGTTTTGGTGAGTTTTGATTGTTTCAGCTTCTTTGCTAAAGGGGTGACATTAGTGTGCCCATCCCTTCCGTTGAAGTCCTTAGTAACTGGATAGCTTGGATTTGGCCCACTCTCTTCAGGTGGAGGCCATCTGGAAATGCCCTATTTCAGAATGCCGAATGGTAGAGCCAGGTGAAAGTGAGGGCTTTGTTTGCCTGCTGGGGCCACTGGGGGATTCCTAGGATGTACTATCCATACTGACTCACCAGGCTCTGAAACTTAGCTAATTTAACTTCTGGATTGCATTAGGAATATGAATACACATGCACATACCATCTTTGTATTTCTTCCCTGGATCTAACCAGTAGGGCTTACCAGCACCATTTCCCCTACAATTTTAACATTTATTAAGCTTCTTCCCTTCCCTCCCCTTTTTCTGTCCCCCTCTCTTCAGCCAACTCCTAAGCGTCCTGGCGTTCTGGATACAGTGGGCATTTCATAAATGTATGTTTAAGTAAATCAGAACTAGTTAAAATGGCCTTGTCAGTGCCCTCAGTAATGAGCAGGCTCAACTTCACTGCTTTCTCTATTTCCCCCAAGTATT